GGGGGGGGGGGGGGGGCGGTGTTTGGGTCTTGATATCTTGACACAACAGGAGTACCTACGGCATAGTGTTATATGAGCCACTCATTTTACGCACTTCGAACACAAACACAATGGTTAAATGGTACGACGCCCTCACCCCTCTTTGAGATCAAGAGGTGACAGCCCGCCAGCTATCCTGATCGCAATCCCTACCCCACCCGAACGAATAAACGAACGACTGCGCAACGACTATATAGGTTCCGTTCTTCCCGCACCCAGAGGGCGCAGAGACGGCTGCGTCGAAGCTTGTGGCGGTCGTCATGACACCACTATTCAACGCACAGGAGGCATGGGACAGGCGAAAACGGAGACGGCAGAGCGGCTCAACGTGTGGTAGTGATAGCGACGATGGTCGTGGGGCTGCTAGTGGTTGTGAAAAGGCGAAAACCGCCTGAGCGCACAACGGACACCCGAAGATCGCTTTTTGAGGGCGAAAACGGCGGTGATTTATTTATGTTAACAGGCATGTCGGAAATACGAACGCAGTGGCAGGCGTGTTTTTGTTGACAATTGTTGAGAGGGTCCCACGAGATTCTGCAACAGCGATGTATGCTCGTAGATGAGCCATTCTCCGGTTTGGGCGGTGCTGCCCGTTAGTGTTGTAAATAGGGAGGAGACACGGGAGTCTGGTGGGTCTGTGGGAGTAAACAATGACCTCGCACCTGTTCGTTTTAGACGCAAAAGTGTTCTGGCCTTCATGAGCATGTGCGAGAGACGGCAGCCGCTGCCGCGTGCTACATATACACAGTGCCATCCGGGGATTGGGTGGATTTGTGTGGAAGAATTTTGTAGGGACTGGTTCCGACAAGGCAACTTTCCGACAAGAATTTTTTTTTGTTTTCAGCTCCAAATGAAGGCCGGTCTTCTGCAAGCATGAAGTGTCATCTTGCAGGCATGGGCTTGATCGAGGCCCGAATTATGCGTTCGTGTTAATGGATTGCATTGTATTCCCTCGTGGTAGCGGCAGGTCGCTGGCCTTACTCACCGTGATGAAAACCCACGTATGTTTTGAGAAAATGCGCAACATGAGAGGAGTGCCCACGTTCGTCACAGCATGGTGAAACTGACGTGGATTGATTGGGTCAGCATGATGAGAAACTGTGCGATACCCCGCCAGAATCATGTCTCTGTTGCTCTCATGCCCGAGACGCACTACAGATGCTGCTGTGGACCAAGAGGCAGTCGGAAGGTCGGAACGAACGGTGGTTTGTGGTGGGAGCTGCGTAGCTTCGCCGGTTGCCATCGTTCATTTGCTGGATCTCGATCTCAAATCTTCCTTGAACAATTCACAGGCTCCGCCCGCGCATACGTACTTGGGGAGGAGGTGGCGAGAACTTCCCATGAATTTGTCAAGCGCGAACGTGCTCCTAAGACGAACACACTTCCGCGTATTGTTCGGCGGCGAGCCAGCTACATCATCCCCGCAGCTATGTCGGCATGCAACCCTTCTGAATCAATCCCCTAACACGCTTCTTACGCTTCCGATATCGAATCGTCTCTCTCCACCTTCTAAGTTGGCCTCTCCTCGCCCCATTCCGCACCACAGCCGCCATCTTGTGCCGGGTGTCTTGCTGTCTGTCCGTCTTTCAAACTTCCGTAATTCCATTCTAATCTACTGCAACGTAGGCCCTCTGGACAAGTCGTTGTGACCGCGTTTCCCTCTTGATTCCCTCCCCCCCGTATGTACCCATCCACCTTGACCCGTGTACGTGCTTCGTGATTCGGACTCGTAAGAAGGCGAGGGATGGTGGAAAGTGCACGACCGCGCCGCAAGGTACCGAATGGGCAAACAAGCACGTCCCCTCCCTTTGCGCTGGCACTTTCCCCCCTGTTCCCAGCAGTACTTCGGTGTAACGTAACGAACATTCAGCCGCCGGAAAACCCTTCGTTCCATTCGTCTTTGCGTCCGTCTCGGAAGTCCATCCTCCGCCCTCCTACCCGACGATCTTCCCGTCAGACAAGGCGTCATAGCATGCAATGAGGCCTGTTGTTGAAAACACTATGTAATCTACGACGGCATCCACCCACCTTATTCGTGCTGTTTTGGTTGGTTGCACTTGCGTATCGTCCTTTCTGTCAGGCAGTTGTTTCTCCAGTCGCTGCGCTAAAGCTGCCCATCTACGAAGTCCAGACCTTTGCCCCTGAAACCGGGCACAGCAGTACCAGTGGCAAGCACAGAAGGCCCGTCGCGCGCTCGGCGATTTCATCTATTAGTCTAGTTGCTTGTTTTTCAGCCACCACCACACCCCTCGCCCGGTCTTCTCAGTTATTCGACTACTCCGGAATATGTGAGGACGCCCACACCCTCAATCTTGGCACGCGTCACCTCTGCCCACCCCCCGCTAGGGTGAAATGCATTTTTGTGGGGTACACGCAAGGCGCCGCCGTATCCGGTGCTCCTCTAAGTAGGGTAACAACGGCCGTGATACAGTAGTATCAAGTGTGTCCCACGAAACAACGAACTGCTCACGGTGAGCCAATCCCTCTGCCCCCCACCAACACAAGAAGAACAAATGTGGTGCAATCTACCAGTGTACCAGTGTACGGCCGATAGCAACGGCCATGGTAGAATCAAACTGCGTCCCCTGAAACAAGGAACAGAAGAACCCCCCCCCCCTCCCAACAACCCCCGGTGTTTGCCATCGGGGTTGGGTTTTCGTCGCTTGGCAACGACGTTGTAAAACAAGCCGCCCCTCCCGGTGTTTGCCATCGGGATTGGGTTTTCGTCGCTTGGCAACGACGTTGTAAAACAA